TTTTTCTTCATATAGTCCAGCTTCTCAGATTATTTGCTCAGCATATAGATTGAATAGGTGTGGAAAAAGAATACAACCCTGACGCACCCCCTTCTTGATTTTAAACCATGTAGTGTCCCCTTGTTCTGTTCGAACTACGTTGTAGTAGTGATGGTCATGTAAGATAAACACATACACACCTGCGTACTATAATATCAGATGAAACCAAAAAACAAACTCACTGCCATTGAGCATTGAGTTGATTCTGACTCACAGCGACTCCCAATGGGTTTCTAAGGCTGTAAATCTTCACGGAATTAGATCACCCTATATTCCTTCTGTGGAGCAGCTGGTGGGTTTGAACCACTGACCTTGTGGTTAGCAGCCAAATGCCTTATCCACTATGACACCAGAGCATGGACTGGAAATCAATACCACAGCAAAAAAAAAAAAAAACAACTCACTGCTACCAAGTTGATCTCAACTCATAGTGACCCCCATTGGATTTCTGAGGTGGAAAATCTTTACGGAAGTACATTGCCCCGTCTTCTTCCACAGAGTGGCTGGTGGGTTTGAACTGTCAGCCTTCTGAGTAGCAGTCAAATGCCTTAGGCACTACACCACCAGAGCTACAATACCACACACACACACACACACACACACACATTAATACTGTCTAGTCCTTTATACTTGTGTCATAATTTGCAATTTTAAAGCACATTCACAAACTCTACCTCAAAACCTCATTTTGTATTTTCAAGAGCCCTATGAGATAGGGCAACAATCATCAAGCCAATCTCATATACAGACTGAGGTGCAGAGAAGAAATAGGTAACTGACTTTTTGTGTCAGTCATGAGGATACAGAATGAACAAAACAGTCTTCCTCTCAAGAAAATGCATAGTCTTGTGAATGAAGCAGCAGCAAACAAATGCATCTCAACATTTTTTAATTTAACGGTGATATAAACAGGAAAACAAGTTCAGGAGATGAGGCTGGTCTGGACTTGCTTCCCTGAAATTTAAAGGATAAGTGGGAGTTGGTTAAGTACGTTTGGAAAGTGAATGTGGGAATGAAGCATTCCAAACAGGGAAATGGCCATGCAAAAGCCCTGAGGCTTGAAAGGAGCCTGGCACATTGGAGGAGCTGAGAGCCAGCCAGTACGGATGGTGCAGCATGGGATTATAAACCTAAACCTGTGCTCTGAGGAAGAATGACACCTCTGCACAGCTGGGGTTAGGGTGAGGCAGAGAGGCATCTAGGGCACCAAACGTAAAGAACCGCTCACCCCCTTATCTCTCTCACCTCATATTTCTGTCCTGGCCTTTCCCTGACTTGCACATAGAAAATTGCTGGCTTGTTGACCTGGCCTAAAATGACTTCTGAGGTGATCAGAATAATGTGAGTTTCTGTTGAAGGCAAGTCCAGTCCCCAGTTAGAGGTGTGTGATTTGGTCATGGGAGCTGGTGCTCAGATCCCCTACCCAACTCCTTTTAAGCGAAGAGATGACCAAAAAGAGAAAGTACGAGGGGAGAGGACAGCCCAGTTGGTGTATGAGGGAAAGGAGGAGGCCCCAGAGCAGGATCCTCATAAGCAGTGACAACATGTGTATATGTCCCTATGTCCACATGTGTATGCACGTATAGGTCTATACATATATCTCTGTGTGTGCAAGTGTTTGTATATATGCATAAATTTGTGGGCATGTGTGTAAGCACGTGTTTGTGTACACACATATGCATGTATATGTACATATGTATCTGTAAGCATGTACGTGTGTGTGGTTTTATCTATATTCATGTGTGTGTATGTGTATCTGTGCATAAGGGGGTATGTTTATGCTTACTTCTTTATAATTTTTTTCTGAAAACACTCCCTCATGGTATTGGGTTAGCTAACACAAAGGTGCCTTTTTCTCACACTTTGAGCAGCAAAAACTCTGATAACCATTCATTTACGAAAGGTGAAGTGAAAGTTACTCCTAGGTATCAAAAGAATAAAATAAACCAGCTCAGGAACTGAGGGTGGGCATGAGGCCAGCGACACCCCACTACTTGTAAGATTCAAGTTTGGGACAAGTCCCTACCACAGCTTGGGGCTTGCACTGACACTGTTGGTCAGCTAACACTCTCCTTAGTTTAGTACTTCTCCTTTCATTTTAGTTTCATTTCATTTCCTTGCATTTCCACAGATCGGCCTGCCTCTGGGAAGGGTCCCCAGCAGCCTCCAGTGCCCCCTCAGAGACTGATGGCTGCCCTCCCTCCCCCGCCAGCCAGCAGGAATCACGCGGTAAGCCTGCCTTCCTCTAGGGGACTTTGTGTTCATTCTCCTTATTTCCTCTGCCAGAGAAGGGCAGGGGAGTGGAGAAGCTACTAACATCTTTATCTAATTCTAATTTTGTAAGAAAATATTATACAGAGGCTAGGAAAATGCATACCCAGGTACTTACAGTGGTTTTTCTTGGGGGGGGGCGGTAGGGGTGGAAATTATTGGTAGTTTCACATCATGTTGTTGTTGTTGTTATGTGCCATCAAGTCAGACCCAACTCATAGCGACCCCTCCTTGGGTTTCCGAGGTGGTATTACTATGGAAGTAGACTGCCCAACCTACTTTCCGAGGAGTGGCCACTGGGTTTGAACCATCAGCCTTCTGGTTAGCAGTCAAGTGCCTTAGGCACTAAGCTACCAGAGCTCCTGTTTCACGTCATAATGCTTTTAAAGAAATAAAAAAAAACATAAACAATATAAATACTTGTATAATAACAAGACCCTTTCTCGTATTTACTATACTATTATTTTCCACTATTGTAAATAGGTGAAAACTGTAAAATAAACTCTACGAAAATCATATTAAGTAACTGGCACTTACCAGCCCAGCGTTGAGGGCACAAAGCCTTCCTCTCTTCTGCAAAGACTTCCACCACCTGCTGGCCAATGCCTGAAATGCCAGGCACAAATGCCTTCACACCAGGAGGGTTGCCAGGCGGTCAGCCCTGAGAGAAAGAAAAGTCAGCAAATTTGCTTTCCTCTTCCTATAAGCATTCAGTCCTGGTCCTGTGGATCTAATTACATACTCAGATGCCAAGAAGCTCAGGCTAAGGAGTCAGTAAGTGGGAATGTGCTCTTTTTACGAGTGACCGGAGCACTAATCATTAAGCTATAGCTAACACAAAAGTGTGAGGTGTAGAGTGAAGGGTTGGAACTATATTCCTCAAAGTTCAAAATGCAGATCACACTACAGTTGGGGTCCCCACCTAAGAATATATGGCTTCCTCTTGCTATTGCAGTTCCATTGCACAGAGAGTTATTGGGGCTGAATTTATCTACAAATGCATTTTGCTATTGAAATCTGGTTGAATCTCCCCAGAGGTGGCTTTGAAGAGAGGCCTGGTGATCTTCAAAAAAAATCTGTAGAGCACAGTTCTACTCTGATACACATAGAGTCTCCATGAGTTAGAATTGACTCAAGGACAACAGAAAATTGAAATTTGAAGGCCTTCACCTCCAACTCTTGGGACACATAATTTCCTCCTTCAGTCAAGAGATATTTATAAGCACCTACTGTGTACCAAGTAGTGTTCTAGTTGTGGGGGATACAGTGGAAAGAAGACAAACAAAGCCCTTACTTCTATGAAGTTTAGATTTTAGGTAAGGGGAGATGGATAATAAACAAGTAAAGAGATGTATAAACAAGATAGGTTTAGTTGAAGTGTGTGGTTAGAGTGACAGGAGGCCAGCTAAGGTGATGATGGATGACAGGGTGACATTGAGTTGGTACAGAATGAGCCAGTCATGGGGAGAGCCAGGAGAAGGACATTCCTGGCAGAGGGAAGCATAGTATAGACATGTCAAAGAGGGTTTGCACTTGAGATTTTATAGTTGCTGCAAGAAGACCCTTTTGGTGAGACTGCAGCAAGCATTGGAGAGAGAAGCACAAGGAGTTGAGAGTGGACAGAGATCATCTCATGTAGGGCCTTGCAGGCCATGGCGAGTTTTTATTCTGTTCTGAATATGAAGGATGGTTTAACAGGGGAATGACACATTCACCTGGCTGTTATGCAAAAAACACTTTGCATGAGAGAGTAGAAACAGGGAGTGCAGATAGGGGGCTATTGGAGAAGTTCAAGTGAGAAATGGAGATGTACGCTTGTGAGTGGAGTCCTGTTGTTGTTGTTGTTGTTACGTGCCGTCGAGTCGGCCCCGACTCATAGCGACCCCTCCTTGGGTTTCCGAGGCAGTATCACTACGGAAGTAGGATTGCCCAACCTTCCTTCCGAGGAGTGGCTGGTGGGTTTGAACCGCCAGCCATCTGGTTAGCAGGCAAGTGTCTTAGCCACTATGCTACCAGAGCTCCCGAGTGGAGTCCTAGCATAGTATAAATTGTTAACGTGCTTGGCTTTTAACCAAAACGTTGGCATTTTGAGTTCACCCAGAGGCATGTTGAAAGAAAGGCCTGATGATCTACTTCTGAAAAAATCAGCCATTGAAAACCCTGTGGAGCATAGATGTACTCTGACACATTTGGTGCCATCGGGAGTCAGAGTTAACTTGATGACAACTAGTTGCTTGTGGGTGGAACATGGGGATGGAGAAAAACGAACAGAGCCAGATATATTTTGGGAGACAAAGCCACCAGGATTTGCTGATGTGCTAGGAATGCTTCCTAACATCTACATCTTTCTTTTAAGCAGCCGCTACCTCCACCCCAGCCCAATCACGAAGAGCCTAATAGAAGTAGAAACCCCAAAACAACAAAGCGTAAGTACAAGGGCTGCCCTCTCTTGCCCATCAGCCCACCTGCATTACTACACCCAACCACATGCTTTCTTCTTTTTAATTGACCTCTGTTTTCTTCCCTTGCAGTCCCTGCTCCTTCCATAGACAGAAGCAAGAAACCTCCCCTAGATCGGTCATTAGCTCCATTTGACAGAGAGCCCTTCACACTAGGTTGGTATAACTCAAATTTGATGAGCTCAGGCTTATTAGTAAAATTAATGTTCTGTAAGAAGAAAATGTTTTATGAAAAGCTCAAAAGAAAAAAAAAAAAAAAAAAGCTACTGCCATTGAGTCCATTCCGACTCATAGCAGCCCCCATTGGGTTTCCAAGGTGGTAAATCTTTATGGAAGTAGATTGCCCAGTCTTCCTTCCGTGTAGTGGCTGGTGGATTTGAACCGCCAAGCTTCTGGTTAGCAGTCAAGTGCCTTAGGCACTGCACCGCTAGTGCTCCTTATAAAGAGCTAAAGTGTTATGCAAATGGCAGAGTTGTTTTTGATGTTTTGTCAGAGTTGACAAAACAGTAGGTATACTACAGTCCTCATCCCCCAGAGTCTGCACAGAAGATTCTTGGATTACTGCTACCTCCACATGGAACTGTTCTGAATTTAATTCTAAACTTTAGCTACTGTTTATTGAACACCTGTTGCTGTTAGGTGCCGCCGAGTCAGTTCCGACTCATAGTGACCCTATGTATAATAGAATGAAATACTGCCCTGTCCTGCGCCAGCTTCACAACCCTTGCTGTGCTTGAGCCCACAGTCCCAGCCACTGTGTCAATCCATCTCGTTGAAGAAGGTCTTCCCCTTTTTTACTGACCCCCTACTTTACCAAGCATGATATCCTTCTCCAGGGAGCTCTGGTGGCACAGTGCTTAAAGCATTGAGCTGCTAAGCAAAAGGTCAGCAATTTGAACTCACTAGCTGCTCTACAGGAGAAAGACGAGGCAGTCTGCTTCTGTACAGATTTACAGCCATGTCATAAATAGACTATCAAGCATAATTCAAAATGCACAGGCAGTGGAAGAGAAAGTAGATGACTGGGATCTTTTAAAAGTTAAATTTTTATGTACATCAAAAGACTTCCTCAAAGGGCGAAAAGAGAACCTACAGATTGGGAAAAAATATTCAGCTATGATATACCTGACAAAGGTCTTCTCTCTAAAATTTATAGAATTCTTCAACACCTCAACACCAAAAAGACAAACAATCCAATTGAAAAATGGGCAAAGGACATGAACACACACTTCACTAAAGATATACAGGTGGTCATCAAATGCATGAGGAAATGCTCATGATCATTAGCCATTAGAGAGATGCAAATCAAAACAACAATGAGATATCATCTCACCCCAGCAATAATAGCAAAGTTCGACAAGACAGAATATAGCAAATGCTGGTGAGGGTATGGAGAGATTGGAACTCTTATACACTGCTGGTGGGACTGTAAAATGGTAGAGCCACTGTGGAAAATGGCATGGTGTTTCTTAAAAAATTGAAAATAGAAATACCATTTGATCCAGCAATTCCATTACTAGGAATATATCCTAAAGAGGTGCAGCAGAACATCAATATATATATGCACACTTATGTTAATCACAGCACAATTCACTATAGCAAAGAGATGGAAACAACCTAAATGCCCAGCAACAGATGAATGGATAACCAAACTATGGTATGTTAACACAACGGAATACTATGCAACATTAAAGAATAATGAAGAATACGTGAATCATCTCATAATGTGGATGAACTGGAGGACATTATGCTAATTGAAATAAGTCAATTACAGAAAGATAAACATTGTATGAGTTCATTATTGTAAAAAGTGAAGGAAATGTTTAAGCAAGGAAGGAAATTCACTGTAGGTTACTGGGGATAGGAGGGAAGGGGAGGGAAAATTTCTTACTAGTTGGGAGTCACATGTTGATTTGGGTGAGGGGAGGGGTGGTATGGCAAGAGTGTGTGATCATCTTGGTGACAGAAGCATGCACAAAAGATATAGACAACAGAGGCAAATACTATTACATGCACAATACTACATTACCAGTGGCAGCAAACACTAGGCTATGGGTAAATGACAGATGAGATCAAGTAAGGTTAGGTGAATATACCCAAGACCAAGGGTAGATTTGGCTGAAGATAGTCTTACATAAGTGCTTGTGCTACGAATTATCCACATACATGACAGAAGTAACAGATGACAAGGTTGGAGTAGCTTTTCAGAGACAACCAAACACTTTGAGGGAGAAAAATCACCACTGGGCCCACCAACTCAGCACCAGTCTCAGGGGACCTCATGCTCAATTGGTACAACATAGTATATAAAAATCTTGTTCTGCATCCTACTTTAGTGAGTAGCAACTGAAGTCTTAAAATCTTTCAAGTGGTCATCAAAGGTGCAAACTATTGGTCTCCTCTCATGTGGAACAAAGAAGAGTGAGGAAATTCAAAGTCATTTGGAAACAATTAGTCCAAAGATATGATGGACCATGAGGTCCTCAGCCTTCACAACCCTGAGACCAGAAAAACTAGATGGTGCCCAGCTACCAATGCCAACCACTTGGAAAGGGATCAAATTGGAGATCCTAGATAGAGTGGGAGGAAAAATCTGGAACATAATTCAAAAACACAAAAATGACCAGAATTACTGGCCAGATAGAGGCTGGTGGAACCCTTGAGACTATGACCCAGAGTTATCCTTCAGGCCTGGAAATAGACTTACTTCCATGGATTAGCTCTCAGTCCAATAGTAGAAAGACCTACAAGCAGAACATCTACCCCAGGGAGATGGACCCACCTACCCTAGGGAGATGCAACCCGTAGATCAACCAATTATGAGACATCAGAAAGGCAGCATTCACATAGAAGGAAAGCTGGACAGACAAGAATGCATAGATAAGAAAGGCACAGGGAAGGAGTAGTTACAGGGAGGAGAGCTTTTTATGGTTGGGGATTGTAATCAAGGCTGTGAAACCAAACATGCATGAACTGTTGAAAGTAAAACAAATCTGCTTTGTAAATTTGCACCCAAATCACAATGAATAAAATAAAATAAATTAAAAAAAAAAAAAAAAAAAAAAATAAAAAAAAAAAAAAAAAAAAAAGATTTACAGCCATCAAAGTCCTGTGAGGCAGTTCCATTGAGCATCTACTACCATATTATTTCTGATTCTCACATCAACTCCACAACCACCACCACATAACTTGTTTAAGGTCACATAGGATTTGTGCCTACCCCTGGGTGAATCCAGTTAGTCATACTTTTATTCCACTGAAGACAAAGGTCATGTTCACTCTGGGGATGTCAGACAGAGGCAAAAATCAATTGCTTTGAATAATTTTGCAATGCAGAGTTCTCAGGCTCACCTGGTGTTTCTCAGGGAGCCTGTGTGTCATCTGTTCCAGGAAAAAAATAAACAAACAAAACCGAAACCACCAACAGAATAACAACCAAAAATAATTTATAGCACATCAGGAGAATCTCCAGAGCTCCTGGGTGGTGTAAACAGTTAATGCACTCAGCTGCTAACTGAAAGGTTGGAGGCTCAAGTCCACCCAGAGGTGCCTGAGAAGAAAAGCCTGCCAATCTACTTCTGAAAAATCAGCCATTAAAAACCCTGCTCTGACACACATCGGACCACTATGAGTCAGAGTTCACTAGATAGCAACTACTAGGAGAATTTCCAGACATCCTCTACCCCAAGTTAAAACTTTTTCCAGAAATACTTGCAAAGAAACTAACTGGAATACTTCATTTAATATCAAGTATACCATAAGATAAGGAGCTTTTGTAGTGCTGTGCCTAAGGCATTTGATTGCTAACTAGAAGGTTGGCAGTTCAAACCTACCAGCTGCTCTGCAGAAGGAAGGTGGGGCAGTCTACTTCCATAAAGATTTACTGCCTTGGAAAACCAATGAGGGTCACTATGAGTCAGAATCAACTCAATGGAAGTCAAAAAAATCAAAAACCAAACTCACTGCTGTCGAATTGGATCTGATTTGTAACGACACCTTCTTGTGTTTCCAAGGTGGAATCACTACGGAAGTAGATTGCCCAACCTTCCTTCCAAGGACTGGCTGGTGGATTTGAACGACCAACCTTTTGGTTAGCAGTCAAATGCCTGGGTTCTTTTGGGTTTTACCATAGGATGGGAGGAAAATTAAGCCCTTCATGGCAAACTGGGTTTATTTCAGATGTGGAAATTAAACTCAAGCCAAAGGACACTCTGGCCAATAAAAGAGACATAAAATGCCAGAAGACACTAAGCCTTTTTATCACCAGTTATATAAAATAAAATATTAAAAAGAAACACAGAATCAACAACACTATTTGTATGTGTGCAATGCTATGTGACCTTGGGCAAGTCACTTAATTTCTCTGAGCCTGAAAAGTTAGATGCTCTGTAAGAGAACCTTCCAGGTTGAAAGTCATGATTCTTCAACACTTAAACCCAATCAGCCTACTGAAGGTCTCAGACACTCATGGTTTTATCAAACTATATTTTTAAACCTTCTGTTATTTAAGTCTTGAATTCAAGATCCATCTGTTGTTTGTTATTTACAGGAAAGAAGCTAGCATTTTCTGACAAGGTAAGATGTTTCCCTGCTTTTTGTATTTTTGTTTCATTTTTTGCATCTTGTCCTTATTCTTTGAAAAGTGCTGGGGAAACGCGCACATCTTCCTCTTTGTTTTACAGCCCTCGGTCCCAGTCCCGGTCCCGGCAGGCAGGTAAGACACTCTACTGCATTTGCAGAAAGGTACATAAAGGTACATGGTACATCCCAGTCCTGGTCCCAGTCCCAGCAAGCAGGTAAGACACTTTACTGCATCTGCAAAAGGTACATGGTACATGCTGTAAGTTTCTCATACAGTCTTTCTCTCAACTATGCAGGCCTCTAGGGGAGAATTTACCCAAGATGCAAAAGCCTCCTTTACCACCAACCACTGAGAGACATGAAAGAAGCCCCCTGCCAGGGAAGAAGCCACCTGTGCCAAAGTAACTATCTTCTGCTGTGTGAGCTTTTCATTCAAACAAGTGGATGCAGCAGACTGCCTGCTTAGTGTTAGCACTACCTTGGAGTCTGAGAATAATGGGCATTTTTGGGTGGAAGTGAAGTCTTTTTACTGCTGTGATTGAGACACATTTGTGCTGCTCATGTTAGATGTCTCTAACCAAGGTCTCTTTGGAGAAAATGGAAATCTAGCAAAGAAATGATTAGAGAGTTGCTTAAACAGAAGTATGGGCATCATATTTTTTTATGGAGAGCTTGTCCTCAGACGGCAAATATTTGGTTGAGTTTTCCTACCTCGTTATAATAAAGCCTTCTTGTGCATAGGAACTGTACCTACCATTTCATTTTCAATGCAGGTTAAAATTAAACAAACACAAACAAAAAAAACTCACTTCCATCGAGTCGGATCTGACTCACAGTGACCCCTTCTTGGGTTTCTAAGGCGGTGTCACTACAGAAGTAGTTTGCCCAATCTTCCTTCTGAGGAGTGCCTGGTGGGTTTGAACTGCCAGCCTTCTGGTTAGCAGTCAAGTGCCTTAGGCACTATGCCACCAGAGCTCTCTCAATACAGGTAGCAGAGAGAGGAAGCAATTGGGGGAAGGCTTTGAGGCCACCGTCAGTGGCTTCCTTACTGCTCAACCATATTTTCTAATTGCAGAATACTGAGGTTTGCCCTAATGTTTCTAACTTTACTATAAAGTTCTTTGAAGCCTATTTACCAAATGGAGTAACTGTATCTGAAGTCAGGCTCAACTCCTTAACTACTTGTTAAGCATATTACCAAGACTTCTATTGGTTTCCTCTGTGAAATGGGGATTTGTAACTATAACTGTTGTTTGGTTTGTAAGGCTTAAATCAGGGTCAGGGCTGTTGGCAGCTGTCTTCCAGGTGGCTCTGAATCATGGCATCCTTTCATATAACAGAACAAAACATGGCCAGTCCTGTGCCATCTTCGTGACCTTTGATATGTTTTAGGCTATTCTGTCCATCTGTCTCATTTTTGCTGCCCCTCCACTTTACCAAACATCATGTCCATGGGTTTATCCTGATCACGTGTTCAAAGTAAATGAGTCAAAAATCTCACCACCCTCACTTCTAAGCTACATTCTGGGACCAAACCTAGGGCATGCCAAAAACTCAGTAATCAAGTTAAATAATATTTCGATGCAACATATAAAAAAATCAAAATGAACAAAAAAAGAAATCTCAGTGAACAGAGTATCAAAGGATTAAATAAAGATGGGATGAGATGGTGATATGTGAAGCATCTGACACATAGTAGTTGTTCAACAAACTTCCCTCCTCTTTTCCCCTCTCCTTCAGGAGAACATGGTGTGGGGACAGGCATTACAGATGCCTGCACAGGTTAAGGCTGCTGTCACCAAATCTGTGACTAGCCTGTTCATCTGGGCCAACTGCACTGAGCCCTTTTGGAAAAATCCCCAAACAACAACATTTTCCAATTGTCTTCTTTTCACACGGAGGGTGAGCCCTGAGATAGCTATTTTAAAACATCAGCAAAGAGGAACATTGCCTAAAATGGTGTCATTTGCTCTGAGAAACATCTACTCAGTGAAATTTAAAAGCTACTGAAGAGTGAGTTTGCTGACTAAAATCCATATATATATGTTTATACCATATATACACATATATACCAAACCAAAAAGCCAAACTCACTGCCATCAAGTCATTTCTGACTCATAGCAACTCTCATTGGGTTTCTAAGGCGGTCAGTCTTTATGGCAGTAGATTGTCCTGTCTTTCTTCCATGGAACGGCTGGTAGGTTTGAACCGCCAACTTTCTGCTTAGCAGTCAAATGCCTTAGGCATTATGCCACCAGAATTTCTATATGTGTGTGTATGTGTGTGTATATAGTTTTATATATATGTATGTATATATATATATACACACACATAAATATAATTATTTGCTGCAATAGCTAAGCAGAATAAAGAGTTGCCTAGCTCAGCTTGCAATGATGAAGGAACACTGAGTAACCAAACTTCCCTTCCACTCCTTTGCCACTACCTTTCTGCTAGGGGTTTTGCTTCCCATCTTCCAACAGCTCAGTGGGCTTGATTTCTTGTTATGAAATTAAGTAAAACTATATTCTACTTCCATAAAGATTTACCACCTTGGAAACCCGAAGGGGTAGCTATGAGTCGAGATCAACTTGATGGCAGTGGGTTTGGTTTCTTTTTTGGTTTATCTATAGTCTAAGGCCAGCTCTTGCAAACTCCTGATTCTCTGTTCTTTTTCTTTGCCCTGCTTCATTTCAGACATGGCTGGGGACCAGACAGAAGAGAGAATGTAAGTACCAACTATGTTGTAAATGCTTTGCATAGGGAAAACCAGTGTAGGCTCTGTGGAGGTTGGAACTGTACCTGTCTAGGCCTTTTTTGAATTCCAGGACTGTACACAGTAGGATATTGAATACTTAGTGTTCTGGCTTTCCCTCATGCATGACAGGCTGTACTGCTTAGCTCTTGTCTCTTGGAGAGCATCCAGTGTGGTTGGGTTAAATACAGCCTCATTTAAAGAAAATAAAATTTTTTTAAAAAAAAACATCAAGTTGACTCTGACTCTTGGAGACCCCATGTGTATCAGAGTGAAACAGTGTTCCATAGGATTTTCAATAGCTGGTTTTTCGGAAATAGATTGTCAAGCCTTTCTCATAAGGCACTTCTGGGCTGTCTTGAACTTCCAACTTTTTGTTAGCAACCAAGCAAAGTAACAACAATTTGTACTACCCAGGGACTCCTGGGACCCCATTATTGTTGCTGTTGTTAGGTACCATCAAGTCAGCTCCAACTCATAGCAACCCCACGTACAACAGAACGAAACACTGCCCAATCCTGGCACCAGCCTCATAATACTTGCTATACATGAGCCCATCATCACAGCCACTGTGTCAGTCCATCTTGTTGAGGGCCTTCCCCTCTTTGTTGACCCTCCACTTTACCAAGCATGACATCCTTCTCCAGAGAATGGTCCCTTCTGACAACATGACCAAAGTAGGTGAGACAAAGTCTGGTCATTCTTGCTTCCAAGGAACATTCTGGCTGCACTTCATCCAGGACAGATTTGTTAGCTCTTCTGGCAGTTCATAGTACTCTCAGTATTCTTTGCCAACACCGCAACTCAAAAGCATCAACTGTTCTTCAGTCTTCCTTATTCATTGTCCAGCTTTCACATCTATATGAGACGATTGAAAACACCATGACTTGGGTAAGGCGCATCTTAGTCTTCAAAAAGACATCTTTGCTCTTCAGCACTCTCAAGAGGCCTTTTGCAGCAGATTTGCCCAGTGAAATGCATCACCTGATTTCTTAGTGCTGCTTCCATTGGTGTTGTTTGGGACCTAAGCAATATGAAATCTCTGACAACTTCACCCTTTTCTCCATTTATCATGATGCTGCTTATTGGTCTGGTTGTGAGGATTTTTGTTTTCTTTATGTTGAGGTGCAATCTATACTGCAGACTATAGTCTATAATTTTCATCAGTAAGTGCTTCAAGTAATCTTCACTTTTGGCAAACATGGTTGTGTTGTCTGCCTATCACAGGTTGTTAATGAGTCTTCCTCCAATCCTGATGCCACACTCTTCTTCATATAGTCCAGCTTCTTGGATTATTTGCTCAGCATGCAGATTGAATAAGTATGGTAAATGGAGCCCCATTACCAGGTGGCAAAGCATGGTGAAGGGTATGGGGTGAAAGGAAGAATGAAGTGGCCTCAAGCCAAAGTTTCCAAGATCTCTGATTTCTGATGACCTGAAAAAGAGAGGCTATAATGTTTACCAAGTGTCTACCATGTACAAGCTGTCATGCTAGCTACTTTAGGGAGAACAACTGTTACAGTTTGCCTGGGACTTTCCCAGTTTTAGCACTTAAATCTCAGGACTTGGGAGCTTCATCAGTCCCAAGTAAACAAAGATGGTTGATCATCATAGCTTGCATGTGTTTTGTACTTAATGATCCTGTGAGGAATCATCCTTTCTTTTTTACTGAGAGGAAATAGAGCCTCAGAATGAGTAAGAAACACACTCCTAGTTGCACAGCTAGCTGTTTGCACCACCAAACCTCATTCCTTATCTTAAGAGTAGGGAAAAATAACACACCTCTTCTATTTTTCAATACTTTTCACACTCTCTGTCTATTTTTCAATGTTTCTGTGAAGATAAATAAATTCAGGGATGGAGCCACACTTGGGAAGCTGCACTATAAAGAAACAAAATCGTTTTGCTTTTAAAAAGAGTGGCCACTGCAAAGTAGAGACAAAAAAGAAGGCTGAGCTTTGTTTGAGTGAGACAGATTTGAGGTCAAATCCATGTTGGTAAATCGGGAATCCTTTCTGAGCATGATGACTCCCTCTATGAAATGAGGATATTAAATCCTTGAGGGTTTGGTAGGAGAATTGAATGAAATGTTGCATGAATCTTTCAGGCATAGAGTAGATACTGTTCTATCTTGGGGAACTTTTGTTGTTGTTAGCTGCCATCAAGTTGGTCCTCCGCTCATGGCAAGTCCATGCACAACAAAGTGAAATCCTGTCAGATCCTGCACTGCACAATGCCCATGAATGGTTGCAGATTGAATCATTGTGATCCATTGGGTTTTTACTGGCTGATTTCAGTAATAGATTGCTAGGCCTTTCTTATTCTGCCTTAGTCTGGAAGCTCCACTGAAAACCTGTTCAACATTATAGCAATCTTCCACTAACAGATAGGTAAGAGCTGAGCAAGAGGTGCATTGTCTGGGAACCCAACCTGGGTCTCCTTCATGGAAGATGAGAATTCTACCACTGAACTACCACTGGCTCCTTTAGGAAGTTTTAAAAATCAAACCAAATTCACTGCCATTGAGTCGATTCAGCTCACAGTGACTCCTTGGGTTTCCGAGGCGGTATCTCTACAGAAGTAGATTGCCCAATCTTCCTTCCAAGAAATGGTGAGTGGGTTTGAACTGCCAGGCTTCTGGTTAGCAGTCAAATGCCTTAGGCATTATGCCACCAGAGCTTTTGTTGTTGTTGTTGTTATGTGCCATCGAGTCGGCCCCGACTCATAGCAACCCCTCCTTGGGTTTCCGAGGCAGTATCACTACAGAAGTAGGATTGCCCAACCTTCCTTCCGAGGAGTGGCTGGTGGGTTTGAACCACCAGCCTTCTGGTTAGCAGTCAAGTGCTTTTAGCCACTATGCTACCAGAGCTCCTACCAGAGCTTTTAGGCATTGCAAAATATATTTTATGCCTATAGGAGAAGAGTCTCAGATTGGAGTGTCTTTAGATGGTCATTTATATTAAGAAAATTCAAGCCATTTAACAAGCCCTGCTATTCTCCATAATATATTCATTATAGGGAGTCATGTGCTAAAGAAAGAAACAGATACTTACATAATTGATGAATACAGAAGAATGCAGATCTTCTTTTGAAATTGTGTTTTGATGATAGGTTAATTCTTTTTTTCTTTCCTCCCTCCTTCCAGGATGAAGATGATGGTATGTTCAAAAAAGCCTCCTTACAACTCATTTCTTCATTTTTTTGCTCAAACATTCAAATATCATTATTTAGTATAGGAACTTCATAAAATCAATGAGAATTGTTAAATTAATAGTAAATAGACATATATCCATTGATATACTTAATAACTATAATAAAATGAAATTATTTGGTTGGGTTATCAAAGACATTGTTAATTAGTTAATTAAATAGTTAATTAATTATTAACATCTGTAACAATACATATTATTTCATTGTATCACAAAGTTAAAAATTGCATGTATGGCTTGATAGAAAATTTCTAATATTTATGCCCTCTGACGTGTGGGTAAAGAACCACAAACTGCAGGTCAATGAATCACATAGAATTTTGGCTTTCATAAAACAGAATAAGACAAAGCAAAATGAAATTGTGACTCATGTCTGAAATGCAAAATGTTCCCAGGCAATAATTTTCTGCCAAGTTAGCATCTCAGAAACTATAAAATAAAATAAATATGTATGATACAGAATAATATAGAATGGTAGAATTTTTCAATGCATTCTAAGGTTGTAACTTATCTAGAAGAACTTTTGGGGCTGGGGTTCTAGCTGACATTTTATAGCTACATCTGATCTTTACATTAATGACTTCTAAACCCTTGGGGAGCAGTTCTGGAATGTTCCTTGGTGACATTTGGGATTGTGGATCCCGTCAGCCTTCTTAATTTTTTTCTCCTCCCCACAGTGCATCAAAGACCTTTGCCCCAGCCAGCACTGCCCTCCATGAGCTCCAATACATATCCTTCAAGATCCACCAAGCTGAACCCCAAGCATTCCCTCCCATCGCCTCACATTCCTGGAGCATTCTCAGAAAGGTTTGTGGTAATGCCATGAAATTCTAACTTGTGTTGAGTCCACTCTAGAGTAAGGTAAGGGCTGGTTGATTGAGGAAGAAAGAAATGAGCCAGTGGGTAGTAAGGTGAGAAAATTTGGGGTGTTAGGAAACAAAGCCAAGCTCAACATTAAGAACATGGCAATCTACTACTGTCCCCAAGTCTCTGTACTTCTGGGGTGGGAGTGGGGAGATGTACACAGAGTTGACTGCCCCCATGGCTGTCCCAGTCAGAATAGACCCTTTTGAAAGAAATGGAGGATGTTTTCACTTAGCACCTCTTGGTTTGATTTTTGGGGGCTTTTCGTTCTTCTGTCTGTGGGCTATTGCTCATCTTCTGCCATGTCTGCCATTTTCTCATGCTCCTTCATCCCACGCTGGACCCCTCCCCTATCCTTCATACTCACAAAATATCATTTACCTGAGGTTGCTGCACCAAGCACACTTTTACTGAAGTCATGGGCTAATGGATGGAGATGGGATTGCTCAATACAGAGCAGACAGCATCTATGGCAGCTAACAACAGCAATGGCAAAGGAGCCCTGGTGACACAATGGTTAACTGCTCAGTAGTGAACTGAAAAGTCACAGTTGGAACCCACTATCCACTCCCCTGAAGAAAGATGTGGCAGTCTGCTTTCGTAAAGATTACAACCTTGGAAACCTATGGGGCAATTCTATTTTGTCCTATAGGGTCGCCATGAGTCAGAGTTAACTCAATCACAATGGTTTTGGTTTGTTTGGCTTACTAACCAAAAGGTTGACAGATTGAACTCACTTAATGGCTCTGCAGGAGAAAGACGTGATGATTAGCTTTCGTAAACATTAAGAAAACTCTGTGGAACAATTTTGATCTATAATATGGGGTCACTATGGGTCAGAATCTCAAAAGCACCTAACAACAATAACCCTTGTCCTTCCTCCTCCAACCCAGCCCCTGCAAATACTGTTGCTCTCTGAAGCAGGGACATCCAGCCCTTTCTTGTTTCTCCCCCACCTTACCCTCTCCTTGCCCTATGGAGGCATCTGGCCCTGAGGAGTGTCTGTCCACAAACAATAGGCCCTTTAGTGTGGTTGTCTCCCCAGAGGACATCTACCATTCTCCAAAGTCAAAGACCTCAAACTGCAGGCAGCTTTTTAAAATAACTCTTACAATAACACAGATTTTGTTGTTACTGTTTCTTTCTTTCTTTCTTTAACATATGAAGCTTGTTAGATTTTGGGGAGGGAGGTTCTATCTTGGTTGGAACATTAGTGAAAAGCGTATACTATGTTCCTTCCCTTCCCTGCCCAGCTCTGGTGCTTTCAAAGAGGGGAGTGGGAAGAAGCTGTCCTCTTCACCCCAGCCCAACTTAAAATTTGTCCTTTTTCTGTCTCCACAGTAACAGCAATTTTCCACAGAGTGCCTCGCTGCCACCATACTTCTCTCAAGGTTTGTACTCTAATTACCTACTCTACCTAACACATCTTCGTGACTGGATTCTCAACTTATCCCAAAGCCTTGGACAAAGGTTTTGTTGTTTACTGAAAACATATGACTTCCTCATTCAATACTTTATTCAGTGCCTGCAGAGTGCTGTTGGAATGATGGAAACTACATAAAACACCACACACACACACACACACACACACACACATACACACACACGGAGGGGCGGGGAAAGAGAGAGAGAGAGAGAGGTGAATCTACCCACAGGGTGCTTGGCTTTCTCTGTGGTTTTAAATTTCCATCATGTGCCTTGAGTTGTGAGTTGGAGGAACCTATTTCTAAAGCTTAACCTGCAAAAAAAGAAATAAATCCCTCAAGGAGCTTGTTTCTGATGCAGATTAAGAGAACTCAACCCCAAATGTTCTGAATCAGTAATTCTGGGTGAAACCCAGAATTTTTAATAAGTACCTCCTCTGTTGTTGTTGTTATGTGCCGTCGAGTTGGACCCGACTCATAGCGACCCCTCCTTGGGTATCCGAGGCAGTATCACATGGAAGTAGATTACCCCATCTTCCTTCCGAAGAGTGGCTGGTGGGTTTGAACCGCCAGCCTTCTGGTTAGCAGTCAAGTGCCTTAGGCACTATGCTACCAGGGCTCCCGTACCTCCTCTAGGTGTTCATAATATGCATTTTCTTAGAGCAGTGTTCTCAAACTATACTGTGTATACAGATCACCTAGGGATGGTGTGAAAATGCAGATTCTTTGGTAGGTCTGGGTAATCAACTTGAAGGCAGTGGGTTAGTGAGGGTTAGGTCTGAGATTCTGCATTTCTAATGAGCCCTTTGGGTGATGCTAATGCTGCAGGTCCATGGACTACTTAGAATAGCAATATAGGGTACAGGGTAGGACCAGATTGTGCTTATATTTGATACTAAAACCTTACAATTGGTGAGCATATGGTACCAAAAAACCAAACTCACTGCTGTGGAGTTAGATCTGACTCATAGAGACCCCACCTTAGGCACATGGTAAACAAAACAAAACAAAACAAAACAAAAAAAAACACTGCCATCGAGTTGGACCCAACTCATAGCGACCCCTCCTTGGGTTTCTGAGGCGGTGTCACGGCAGAAGTAGACTGCCCAACCTTCCTTCCGATGACTGGCTGGTGGGTTTGAACCGCCAGCCTTCTGGTTAGCAGTCAAATGCCTAGATGGTTTCAAAATGCTTGTCAAATGATTGAGTGTGAGTGTATGCAGAATGTTACTCATGTTAGGAAACTAACATAATGTTGCCAGATCTTCAGGGGTTTTTTCTTTTGTTTTGTTTTTGCCCCTCAAGAAAAGCTGGAAATGTGGATTTTAATGTGAAATTAATTTTAAAATATTGATTTAAAATTTTTTAAATGCTATGAGAAACAAAGGAGCTCTGGTAGCATAGTGCCTAAGGCACTTGACTGCTCAC